GGCAGGGGTGCTTGGTGAGCACCAAGCAGAGTGGCCCCAGTCTTTCTAGACAGACATATCACAAATACATTCCTACCTATTTGTTCCCACAAAGGATTGTTTTCAGAATGCCTTTGTGCCCTGTTTTCCCTCCAGCGCTAGTAGCGAAAATCTCTCCTTGCACCCTGGGCTGGGCCCGTCTCAGCAGCTCTGGGGGCCTGGCCAGGAAGGTGGGCACTGTGCTGGACACAGCCCCTCCCTCCTGCAGCCCCAGAGAGATGTTCCTAGCCACCTGGCCCTGTGTGGGGTGGGGTGGAAAGTAGAGTGAGACTTCACTGTCTCAGCCATTTCCTGTGATAATTTGGGGCAGGATTTGTTTGAAATTTACCCTGACCCACTGAATGAGGGATTCGATCCCCAGTGAGATTACTGGGGCAAGGATTTAGGTCCCCTCCCCCAACCCGAACTCTGGGTTTAGAACATGGTTTCCAAGCACACTGCCCGCCCAGACCCCTGGCAGGTGCTCCCCTGGGCAGCTGCGTTGGAAAGGCAGCCTGTCAGAGTGGAGGGTGGCTGGCTAGGATCTCCTTCGCCCAGAGCAAACCAAGCTGGCAGAGGGCCAGCACTTTGTCTAGGACACGGCCAGGCCAGCAGCTCCCGCCCCTGCTTGCCCACAGTCGCAGGCTGCCAGTGGGCCTAGTTGTGAAACTCTTCAAACAGTGCAGAAGTGTGTAGACAGAATGTGCAACCCTCCCCTCCCCCAGCTAACCACTGTTGCCCTTTACTGGTGCATCCCTTTCCAGACCCTTTTAATGGATTTTTGTGAATACACGCAAGCACGTGCATCCATGGAGTAGGTGATTTAAAAACACACATGTAGGATCCACCAAACACATTCCACCGAGGCTTTTGTCCTGTGTGTTTGCTCAGTGAGGCAGCTTCGTTCTTTTTCCTGGCTGCATAGTACTCTGGGATGTGGCTGTGTGGCTGTATTGTCACTTACCCAGTGTCTTACTGCTGGAAGCACAGCTGCGCTGCTTTTCTTGTTTGTTTACTGTTAGAAGCCGTGCAGCAGTAGACTCTGGTGCGTGTCTCGGTGTCCAGCTGGCATTCGTGTGGGATTGAGACCTGGTGGTGGTAGTGACGGGGACATAGGCAGCGTTTAAATGTGTGGTAGAGCTACTATGTTGACTTAAAGGACACATTATGTTTTGAAAGGAAACAGGCTGACAGATCTTGGTCTCCCCAGTGCTGAGTTTCCTGCTGTGTCTCTGGCTGACTTTTTTTTTTTTTTTTACCTTCTCCCAGTTCTCCTTTTTGTACACATGAAAGCATCATATTGAGAACATTTGAAACAAACTCAACAAAACCATTGTTACTCTTGCATCCCTCATGACCGGCTGTCCTGCCATCCTGGCTCAGCTTACCTGGTGGCCCGCAGCCCCTGCCACAGTGAGGTGTGCCCCCGGGGGCCTCCTGGCATGGCCTGCACTGGCGGGGGTGCGGGGCACCGATGTGATGCCATTTGCTCCCCCCTCCCCTGGCTGAAAGTGGATTTGAGGCCCTCCCTCC